AAATCAAGGAATGAATTCTTACACCATATCTTCCACTTATCAACATACATTCCCAAGATTTTTCAAGTTGCTATTTTTATCTTTATTTTTTTCTGTGAAATGACAGAATGGTAGACATTTTATCTATGGAAAGTGAATTGAAACACATATTGGTCAGTGACCATATTCAAGAACTGAACTGAGATTGAAATCTCTAATTTACACATTATAAATATTAGAACTTTTCAAAGAGACTTTGGAATTGTGATCTTATTTTACATCATTGTATGCATTATAAATGCATTGTATGCATTATAAATGTAATTGGTCTTTTCACTATAACTTTAACTATAACTATAAATTACCAAGCTGTCTCCATTCAAGTTTTATCAAGACAAGTTGTCAAGGTTATTGAACATTTGATGGAAAGGTGGCATTAGTTAGCAATTAAGAAAATAGAATAAATGTTGTATGAAAACTCAGGAATAGTAATGTTTTCTTTGTGTGTCAGATATGTAAACAATTCAGATGAATCACTGTTTCAGTCAGCAAATATAAATAAACTATGTACTGTTTAAATTCTCTTAATATGTTTTTGCTGTATATAAATTATCCTCAATAACATATGTAACAACAGATCTATAATCTCTAGGAATAATTGATTTTAAGAGCATGAAAGGGGTACATTTAATTGCTCATGCAATTTAGGACATTTATAGTCTTTTTTAATTCAATGCATTAATAGTTCCACATGGAGAAAATTTATAGTAATGCAGTGCTCATTGGCATGATATATGATGTCAGATGTTGAATTGAATGCATTCAACGAGACTGAAAAACATTCTAGATTATTCATATTGAAATGTTGAATGTCATCCAAATGATTTTTTCTTCCTGAATATTGCCACGGTATAGACAATATTATGAAATGCTAGTTTAATAAAAGTCATTTTTAAAATTGTATAAAATGTTTGAACTTCAAATCAAATAAAGTTATGTGTCGCAGATTCATCCCACTGAACTTCAGAAAAATTAAAAAATGGAAGACAATATTCATTTTGACTGGAAAACAACTTTGAAAAGAAAAATCATCTTTGTATAGAAATTGTTCATAAGGTATAAAATAAGAAAAAGAAAAACTTGCTTTGTTAAATTGATCTTGTATATGAAAAGGAATGCTATCATTTACAAACAGTTACAGGAAAAATAGTGAAACATATAAAGTTTACCAAATAATATTTTTCAATTTAAACTATTAACTTGTACTATTAGAAGCTGAGATGCATAGCCGGTACAAGTACTGTAAGGTTAGCTCAAGACTCTCAACTATGTTACAGTAATTCAACCCTGATAGGAACTAATGTTACATGTTCGCATATAAACTTTATTTCAGAAGTTACAAAAGGTAAGAAAAAAATTCTGTCTTTTCATCCCTCTCCTTCCATTCCATAGACGCTCATGTTTTAAACATAGATAAATACAATCACTTTGAATGGGAAGATTACAAATTCTATAGTGTTGTAATGTTGATTGATTGTGGCAAAACAATCTTTGCTGAATATATCTTGCCATAATTGATCATAGTTCTAAAGTTTTACATGATGCAAATAAAATCATTTATTCTTAAGTGCATACAATTTTGCTGAGCAACATTAGTAATACTTTGAAGACCTACATTCATCAGGGCTGTGCTTTGGGTGCAAGTAAACAAATACAGCTTCTGCTTTCAGTATCTTAAATCACTTTTCCGCAATGTAAATTCATTGCTGAGAATGGGTTTTGGGGATACCCTGTGATGGACTGTGCCTACAAAGGGGGAGGTGGTATGGTGGACTACAGTGAAGCGGCAGTTTCCCAAGAGGGAATTCATTCCAAGGAGGGGCAAAACAGGAGACAACTAGATAGGAATCAGAGATAGCCACTCCTAGAATCTCTTGCTATATCCATTAGGGTAAGAGTAGTAAGGGTTCAATCTGGCAAGATTCTGTTCATTTAGTGTGAACAAATAAAGAAATGGACCTTGGCTGGATTGTTTTATGTTCTTGGACTGGGCCTGATAAATCCTTTATTAAAGGAAGAGGGAGAGAAGGATTTCTGATGCTCCCTGTCAGCTTCCCACAAGGAAACTCAATGGGGAAGCTATCAGGAAGTCGAAACTTGCTCCTATTCCCACTGCTTTTTTACCCATCACCCATATGACACCCTGTTGGTTTGATGAGAAACACTTAATGCAGATACTGAATATTATTTTCAAACCAGCTATTTATATCCATTTGATTTTCTTGCCAATCAACCACTCTGCTGGTTTACAAAGTAGAATATCATGGAATACTTTGAAAAACACTTTACTGAAATTTAGATGCATTTCACTAGTGTTCCTACAATCAATGAAGGAACTTAACCAGTTTAGAAAATGAAATAGTCTAGCAAGCCTTCCCAAAAGGGATGGGAGATGCAGTATCACCATAAAGGAAGCCATGCCCAGATTGTCTAATGGTTTCATTTAAGAGGTTTAAAAGGATAATGGAGAAAATCAAGATTTGATGAGGCCATGGCCTTAAAACTGAACCAGAGTCCTCCAGCAGACTCTTCTGTGTTTACTCAACCAAATAAGATTACAGTAGAATAATTACACAAACTACTCTAGCAAAATCCCCTATTGGCTCATTGCCTCAGAAAGATACAATAATCCATAGTAGTAATGTTACTGAAAGGGCCAGAACCAGTTGGAATCTGTACCTAATCTAGTTCCTGAAATGCATTATTCACCAAACAACAAAGGGTTTTTGTCTTAAAATTCCTAGCCTAAGCCTATCCTGGAAAACATTTTGGATGTCTATGTAAAAGGTAGGAGATTTATTGATGTCATATATTTTGCTAATTGGCAATATTAAAAATATCTTCAAAACAAAAGTACTGTAAATAAAACGATGTGCTGTAAATAGCATTTTGCATCTACATTTCAAGAAAGATTTTGATGCATACAAATTATTTGGCCATAAACTTTTGCTTAAAAAACTAGGAGTCTGTTATAATAAATAATGTGGACTCACGTATTCAACTTACTTCCTTCTCTCCCTCCCTCCTGTCATAGTTGAGAATAGTAAACAAAATCCTGCACAAAATATGGTTTTATTGAACAATGCAGCATATATAGATACACATACAAAATTTGATTTCATTCTAGATATCTTTTTCATAATATGCTATATCAAAGCAAGATGTCCTGGTTTCCATAGCAACATCATCTTCTCTTCTTCCTGCTTTTCAAATATAGATCAGAAAAAATTGAAACCCTGGCTACAGAGGCAGTTTTACATATAATTTCATCTTGGTACTGCCTTTAAAAGCATGTACATATTTTAAAATGAGATTGTCATTTTTAAAAATGATTTTCAACTACTCTGATTTTTTCCCGACCTAATCAGAAGTGGTCAGAACCTTTGAAGAATGGAACAGTTTTCCCAGTTTGACAAATTTCATCTACCTTAGAGACAAACCATTCACCCCAAGGGCCCCATGAATGCAAGGAAACAAAAATTTGAGAGCTTGTGATTTTAAGCATCTTCATAGGTTATCCCAGAAGATACTGTTACATTAATAAGGAAGTGACAATTTGGGCCTGAATCTGCTCAAAGTAGTTACCATATACTGAGAATGTATCACTAACTTTTACAGATGACTATAACTGATGCCAGATTCAGTTCTGGATGCCCCATATTATATTGCCAGAACCAAGGAGAAAGAATTAAAATCAGTTGAAACTGAATCTAAAGATCCTGGCAATGAAGTGCACAAGGTAAGTCTGCCTATCAACAAACTTGTTAGGATGAAATATGGTTGTCATCTGCTTTCCCTCTCAGCCACCAGAACTCGCTACACACTTGATACAAAGTTTTAAACAATCTCCTAGATGCAGGAGTCCTATTCTCATGGCAGAACTGCAATATCCCTTCCTGAAAGAATATATAATTGGCTGCCATGAAGCAACTATCCATTATTTATAGAAAAAGGAATCAGTTTGAAGCTTTTATCTATGCAGCAATCTAATCCAATTGAGCAGATATAGTGCCTTCCTCCATGACCCCAACCATTATGGGGGTTCTAATGATTGAAGAGGGGGAAAGTTGCTTTGTTGTTTTAGTAGAAGGAATGAGTATGGAAGATCATATCCAGGTTTATGTGATACTGCATGTATTATAGTTTGTTCAGTGAGCCCAAAAAATATATGATATGAAGACTGAAACAGGAGAAAAAATGGATCTAGTTGATCTAACCAGATGAGATGGATTGTGTTTTTAAAAAGTATTACAAATCTTGTATTGTCTGTATACTTCCACAGATAGATTTCTCTCTGAGAAATGTCTCCTTTGTTGGAACTCCACTTTTATTGCAAGCAGTGCTTTGGGGGGGGGGGGGGAAAGGTGCACAAGAGTGGATGCACTAACCTGTCCCAGCTTGACAAATACAATCAGTGATCTCCATACTACACCCTGGTCTGAAACAGCTGAAATAGGTCTGGATAATCCAAGGGTTTTTAAATTACAAGGCAGTCAATACTGGTTGGACATCAGAAGAAAATTCCTAATAATGGAATAGCTGCCTCATGGAGCAGTGGAATCTTTTTTTTGCTAGTTATTTAAAAACAGACAGAATTGCCATTTTTCAGAGACTCTGCAACATGGAATTCCTGGAACAGGTCTAAATTACCTTCCAACATACTATGATTCTAAAAAATTCTTTGTCTTATTCTTGGAAGTTTCTGAGAAGGCAACAACTGGGCAGACATTCTCTATGAAGTAAAAGATTGGAGTTTCACAAAACAGATGGCTTGTAACTAAAGATAATTAACCAACACAGCACTTTTTGCATAATTTTCCTTTGTAGAGTTTGCATTAATGTCAGATTGCTTTCCTTGAATTCACTTGGAAGCCTTGCTGAGTTCAGTAAATTCTATTCAAGTAAATATATATATATAGATTCAAGCTTTTGACTCAGTAAATATAACTCAAACATCAACATGATATAACATGAATTTTTAATAGCCAAGAAGTAGACTGTAAGGATAAATAAAGCTTGGAAGGAAAGTATTTACTGTAGAATTATGTGCACTTTTTAATATTTTTATTCACTGTTCATGCAAGATGAAAGTACGGTATCCTCCATGCTACATCTGATGCATTTTGAGGCTGTGAAAAATTAATGTTGGGGTTTGTTTCTTATAGGCTGAGACTATAACTTCAATGTACACTTTGCAGATTCATTCTGTGAGGAAGATGGGAAGTTTCTAAATGTGATAAATAAAATATCAGAAATGATTTATTTCATGAATCCGGAGAAGACTATGGGACAATTACCCAATTCAAAAGGCATTACTATGTATTCAAACTTGCCATACTGCACTTGGAATCAAAAGAAATAAATAAACCCAAGTATTTTCTGCAAGTCAAATCATATCTACTTAGGATGGGTATTTCTTAATTCACCTACACTTATTTTATTTTTCAAGATTCCCTTCAATGTTATTACAAAAATAAACAAAACTTAAATCATATTTCAATATTTATATTAAATGTTACACCGAAAGAAGAGCCACAATAACATCTGTACAGGTAGTCCTCGACTTACAATTGAGTCCAAAATTTCTGCTGTTAAGTGAGACATATGTTAATTGAGTTTTGCCCCATTTTACGACATTTCTTGCCACAGTTGTTAAGTGAATCACTGAAGTTGTTAAGTTAGTAACCGGGTTGTTAAGTGAATCCGGCTTTCCCATTGACTTTGCTTGTCAGGAGGTCACAAAAGGTGATCGCATGACCCCAGGAACCGTCATAAATATGAACCAGTTGCCAAGCGGCTGAATTTTGATCCGTGGGGGAAGGTGCTGCAAAGGTCGTAAGTGTGAAAAATGGTCAAGTCACTTTATTCAGCGCCATTGTAACTTCGGTCACTAAATGAACTGTTGTAAGTCGAGGACTACCTGTATTAAAAATCAGGGCTCTTCAATCTAAAGCCATCCAGGCCCATTATTCCCAGCCAGTAGAAAAGGCTCTTTTAAGGCCCGCTGGTTTACAGCAGTATATAAATCTGAAAAGTGTGTGTGTGTGAGAAGGGGGGGGGATGTTTACTTAGCGAGAATTCGCCGGCAGAAAGCCGAACTTCGGTTCCTCCGCTTCCCGCCAGGGCAAGGACCGGACCTGCAGCGCCCTCCAGGCCAGTTGGTTCTCGTGAGGCTGTTCTCCGAGGAGAGAAGCGGAGCAGGGCAGCCGGATGGCAGGATCCCGCCGTCCCTCCTCAAACCCTCTGGCCTCTTCAGGGAGGCCCCGTCACCTTCCTCAGTGAACCAGCAGGCGGAGCTGCAGGGAGCGTCCCCCCCCCTTCCGCGGGCTGCGCAGGGAATATGGGGGGGAGGAAGCGGAAGAGGAGCTGCCGCCGCCGCCGCTGCTGCTGAGGGGAGCCCAGCGGGCGCTGTAGTTGGGGGGCCAAAGGCTGACGCGTGGCACGGCAGGCTGGCTCCAAGAACCGAGAGAAAGAAAGGTCCGCCTCGACACCGACGTGATCTGCTTTCGGTCTCACAGCAACCAGGTCAGCCCCCCCCTCCTCCTTAAGGGCCGCGGGGAGGGGGGCAAAAGGACCCGGATGGGGTTTCATTGCAGGACGGGCAGTGGGGGGGGCGAAGAGCAGGCGAGTGGCGGGAGGATTATATTCCCGTGCGATCTGCGCGTGCGGAGAAGGAGGGGGAGGAGGACGAGAAGGAGGGAGGGGGGGGGAAAGCCGCGACTCGCGCGCCTGTTCGAATCCGAAAGGGAACGTCGAGGGGGGGGTGCCTGCGTGTGACGTCAGGTAACGTCCTCCCCTCCCCTCGACCCGGACCACTCCTCCGTACGCGGGCGAGCACGTTACGGGGGGGTGGGGTGCGCTTGTTGTATCCGCGACTCGACGGACACGTGCGCGCCGCTTCTGCCATGTTAGTGCTCAAAGGAGGGTGGGCGGGTGGAGAAGGGAGTTCTCGCGAGGTCAGCCCTCGTTCCCGTGGGAGCTGACCGGAGTCAGGATGGCGGCGCTGCGCTGGGCGTGATGGGTAATAATGGTAACGGGCAACCGGGACGCGGGGAGGTGGGGGGGGGTGAGGGAGACTAGGGGCGGTGCGGTCTGTGTGCCTTGTGTGTCTGTGTATGTTACTTGAGCGTCAGCCTCTTAAGTCTGTCGACGCGTGTGGGGCGGGGCTGAACACTGCGGGGAGTTTGACCTGGTAAAGAGTTTTGCGCGTCTTCGTTGGGCTTCTCCCTTCTCCCCCCCCCCGCAACGCACGGCGCCCCGCCGCTTTGCGGCGCCTCGTCCCCACATGGTGCTGTGGCGCCCCCTGTCGGCCGTCTGGCTTTTGCACCCTGAAGTTTCTCCTAAATTCGTACTTCGGGTCTCGAGCTTGTAAAGCTCTTGCCTTCAAAGCTCTGCCTGCCCTCCAAGTAATAGTGATGCAAAATTGTCAGGACCATCGCTGTTCCTCTCGCTGCTACGGTACTTCTGAAGTGCCTGTGGCATTCCATGCGTGCTGCGTTGATTGATTGATTGATTGATTGATTGGTCAGTGAATTAACCTGGTGGGATTGGGGAGATGACCTCGATACAACAAAAAGCGCCACTAAAAGAATTATTCTGCCAGAGCCGTGGCTCGCAGTCCTAATGAGTTTCCTATGCTACTTGCCAAGTATACCAAAGACTTTATTCTGCAATACTGTGCCTTGCAGCAATTGTCTCTGGAGCTTTTTTCAAACAACAAAATAGACAATTCTTTAAAAGAAGCCAAGGCAAGCACGTTAATAAAGTGCATTCGATTTTACGTATCAGTACATGTAGTCCTCGACTTACAGTAGTTCATTTTGTGACCGTTCAGAGTTACAATGGCGCTGAAAAAAATGATGACTGATAACCGTTTTTCAGAGTTACGACCTTCGCAGCATCCCCATAATAATGTGATCAAAATTCAGATGCTTAGCAACTGGTTCCTATTTATGACCGTTGCTATGTCCCAAGATCACGCGATCCCCTTTTGTGACCATCTGACAAGCAGAGTCAATGGGGAAGCCAGATTTCCTTAATAACCAGGTTACTAATTTATCAACTGCAGTTATTCACTTAACAGCTATGGCAAGAAATGTTGTAAAATGGGGCAAAACTCAATTAACAAATGTATCTCTTAACAACATAGATTTTGGGTTCCATTGTGGTTGTAAGTCGAGGACTACCTGTATTGTCTGAAGGCATATTTTTGCTGCTTGCTGCTAGTCTTGTGTGAAGATGTCTTAATAGATTTTATGATGTAGCATAAACCCTGCCTGCTTAGTAGTCTTTTGTGGACTATGCATCTAAATGAAACAGGTTCCTTTTGAGACACCTATTTATATGAATTATGAATTCGTTTCAAAGAGGTAGTTTTACTTGGATTTCCAAACCAAACGTTTTAATTGTTCAGTTTGAACTTCTAGATTTTGGTTTTTTGTTAAAAGTAAAACCCACTTGATTTTTTTTTTTTACTTTTGGTATTTATAAGTACATTTTAAAATATTTTGGTATATGTTGTAAATATGTAAAGGGCGGCTAAGGCTTTTAATAGGCATTATGCAAAGTTATTGTGTGGGTGCAATTACAAATTATTCCTTAGAAATCTCATGGAATTGAATAGGGAGGGTGAGATTAAGATGTAATATGGTAAGTATCTTTTTTCTGCTAAGGTGAATTTTCCTTCTGATCAAGTTGGATTCTTGGTGTCTACATGAAAATATCTATAATGTTTTCTTGGCAACAGCCTCTTTTCCTGTTCTACATTTCCATAGGAAAGATCCAGCCAAATGTTACCAATATATTCATGTACTATAATTAAAGCTTCAGGTTTCTTTTTTTAAAAAATCCACTTAATTATTGGATTGACTGTTAAACTGCTTCCCCTTTCATACTAAGAACATATTTCCATTGTGCAACTTGTACACAAAAATGTGGACTGATCTCTTTTATGAACACTTGTGTTATGCAGAGGTACTGCTGGAGAACATAAATGTATTTTATTTGTTGTACTTTATCTTGAAGTAAATATTGTTTTAATGATCTATTTAAACATTTGAAATGTTTAAATAATAAACAATGAAAATTAATGTTGAAACATTAATTTTTCTGTAGCATTTTCTAAATTTATTGAATATTGCTCCAAAGTTTGAGATTAGGAATCTTGTTGATATTTTTAAATTATTATTTTGTCCAGGCAGTTGTGTTTCATTATGTTGTTTTTTAATAGGGTTTCAGTTATATCTTTGATATTTTGTAACCTGCTCAGAGTCCTTTTGCAATTGGGTGGCCTTAAGTTAGATAAATGAATAAAATAAAATGTTACTCTGATAGAGCACAATTAATGCTTTGTCTTCAGTAATTACATGCTGGTTCAACAAGTTATAGAATTGGGATGCTGCTGTTCCCCTCCCCTCAGCTAAATTGTACAGCTTGTGTGTGTGTGTGTATGTACACATATATAGACATACTACATCCATACACATACTGAAAACTAAGTCACACTGAAATTAATGGAATTGATTCTCAAATAGGTATGCTCTGAGTAGATTTAATCAATGATATGCTTGCCAGAGTCTTAATATCAACAGTCAGGAAAATCAATATTATAATATTTCAAATGTCACATGGGAGCTTTGGATATTTCCTTTAACTTTTTTTTATTGATTGCAGTATGATAAGTAATGAATGCATGTGTGTGTTTCATTTTATAAAATACCAACACAGAATTTCCCCCCTTAGAATATTCTAGTCTAAGAGAGAGGTGTTCTAGTAAACGTATAATCCATATCCCTTAGGAAAGTGAACATCTACAGGAGGTCATAAGAGAAGTCCTTTTTATCATGAAAGACAAATTTTAATACCCTGTTTTCCCCAAAATAAGACATCCCCTGATAATAAGCCCAATCGGGCTTTTGAGCGCATGGCAATAAGGACAAGTGCTTATTTTAGAGTTCAAAAAAATATAAAGACAGGGTCTTATTTTTGGGGAAACACAGTATTTCCGAATGAGTGTATAGATTTAATTCCCTTACAAGCATTATGAGTAGGCAGTATGAAAGTTGTCCGAATAATAAATAAAGGTGGTTTTGAATTAATTATAGAGCTGAGTCCAACTTTATGCAAGCAGAAGTCAGTTTGGGTAACAGAGCTTTATTCTTTTTCCTCTTAGAGCGTCTGTCATATCTTCCACATTCAGAAATTTAGAACAGATTGGGAAGGTATAAGCCTGGAAGAGTTTCATTAAAAAAAAGTTCATTGAATTCTGCCTGATTTTTTATTTATGCATATTTAACTGAACTGAACTGGTAATTCAGCAGGTTTGGAAAAACTTGATTTATTTGATCAGTAGTTGCATAATTCATTCTCTTATTTATTTGAGGGATAAATAATTGTATTTCCTACTTGATACCACCACCCAAAAATGATAATACCAACCTAAAAATCCCAAGGTTATCTCCTTTCTTATAGACTCTTTTCTATCTGGTAACATAGAAACAGCCCCAAGACTGGATAGAATGCTTCTATTTCTGACTCATTTTTCAGAGGTGAAATTTATATAAATTTCATTTGTCAAATTTAAAAGGCCATCATATTCTATAAAGACTCCTGACAGCCATACAACACCAATTAATTATGAATATTTATTTAAAATGTACATAGTCATTCAACAATAATCTTGGTGCTATACAGTAAATAAAGTACAATTAAAAACAAATGTCAGCAGAAAAAAAAAACAATTACTGAAAAATACAACACCCACTATCAAAGCCTAGAGGAAGAGCTAAATTTTTTTAACATGGTCAGGGTGGGGCCAGCTGTATTTTATGTAATGGTTGCAATGTATTATCAAATAGTGTTGGAAATGTATTTATTTAATTTGATTTTGGTGCCACCCAATTCCAAATGATTTGTTATCTTTAAGGGTACATCAACAAAATGTCTTAATTTTACAACAGAATTACTGAACTATAGAATGATTGTCACAATGGATGTTAGTATTTCCATTCCTTTTATGTTAGTATTTCCTTCAGTTATTTCTCGTCTTCTGGTTGTCATCTGTTCTGTCTTCTCTCCCTCACTCTTCAAACTGACTCAACATTCTACCTTTGTCTTACAAGAATTGCCCAGCTATAATAATAGTCTATCATTTCATCACGTATATATAATGAAAGCTTATCTCTGCTATCCTTGCAGGATAAAAGATTTAAGAAAAATGGAATTTTCCCCCATCACAAAATACATTCCTTTTATATATCTTGTCTTGGTAAACAGTCAGCTATCACAATTTTATTTCCTACCAGTTATTTGTGTTGCTGTACTAGCTGTTGCTTTTTCTTTTCTTTTTCTTTCTTCCAATTTTACACAACCATCACCATGAATAGCTGCTTCTTGTTTAGATTTCCTAATTTCCTTGTCTCCATATTGAAATTCTCCCCATATTCATTTTTCCAAGTGAAATTGAAATACCTGAAATGGAATTAGTTTTTGTCCATTGTGGAATTGTAAAAATTACTTTTTCAGTCTCATGGGAAAAAATAGGAAAAATGATATTTTACTAGA